TAAGATTTTATTTATTTGAGTGTAGACTTACAGACAGTGAGAGGAAGAGACAGAGAGAAAGGTCTTCCTTCCATTGGTTAACTTCTCAAATGGCCACAATGGCCAGAGCTGTGCCAATCCGAAGCCAGGAGCCAGGAGCTTCCTCCCAGTCTACCATGTGGATGCAGGGGTCTAAGCACTTGGGCCATCTTCTGCTGATTTCACAGGCCATAGCAGAGAGCCAGATTGGAAGAGCAGCAGCCAGGACTAGAACTGGTGCCCATATGGGATGTCGGCGTTGCGGGCGGAGTATTAATCTACTGCACCATGGCACTGGCCCTGAAGCATCTCAATTTGTTGTAACCCCATGGGTTAATTTTGGCTTTGATTGCCTGTACCTCTGGGGTCTTTTCCAAGAACTCCCTCCCTGTGCTAGTGTCTTGTTGGGTTTCCCCAATGTTCTCTAATAATTTGATGGTATCAGCTCATAGATTTAGATCTTTAATCCATTTTGGATGGATTTTTGTATAAGGTTTAAGATGGGGCTTTGTTTTTGTTGTGTACAATTGCTCTAGCTATTCAAGGTCTCTTTATTTCAGCAGCATTTTTTATATCTGAGAAGTATGTTTTATTTTGATTGGTACTGCATTTAATCTGTAAATTGCTTTCAGAAGAATAGACATTTTGATAATATTGATAGTTCCATCCCACGAACATGGAAAATTTTTCCATTTTTAATATCTTTTTATTTCTTCTTTATATATTTCTTTCTTTAATGTTTTGTAATTTTTGTTATAGAGACCTTTGACATCCTTGGTGAAATTTATTCCAAGGTTTTTTTTTTTTGGTAGCTACTGTGAATGGGATTGATCTTAGAAGTTCTTTCTCAGCCATGGCATTGTCTGTGTATACAAAGGCTGTTGACCTTTGTGTTTTTATTTTATATCCTGCTAATTTACCAAACTCTTCTATGAGTTCCACTAGATTGTTGGTGGAGTCTTTTGGATCCCCTGTATATAGAATGATGTCATCTACAAATAAAGATTGTTTGACTTCCTCTTTTCTAATTTGATCCCTTTGATTTCTTTTTCTTGCCTAAAGCTCTGGCTAAAACTTCCAGAAGTATATTGAATAGCAATGGTGAGAGTGGGCATCCTTTTCTGGTTATGGATATCATTGGAAATGCTTACAACTTTTCCCTATTCAATAGGATGCTAGCTGTGGATTTGTCACAAATTTCATTAATTGTGTTGAGGAATGTTCCTTATTTTTATCATAAAAGAGTGTTGTATTTTATCAAATGCTTTCTCTGCATCTATTGAGAAAATCATATGGTTTTTGTTCTTCAGTTTGTTAATGTGATCTATCATATTTGATTTTGTTAATGTTGAACCATCTCTGCATACCAGGGATAAATCCCACTTGGTCTGGGTGAATGATCTTTCTGATGTGTTGTTGGATTTGATCAGCTAGAATTTTGTTGATTTTTGTGTCAATGTTCATCAAGGAAATTGGTCTGTAGTTCTCTTTCTCGGTTGCATCTTCTCCAGGTTTAGGAATTTAGCTGATGCTGGTTTCATAGAAAAAATTTGGGAAGATTCAATGGTTTTGAACAACCTGAAAATAATTGTAGTTCTTTAAATGTCTGGTAGAATTCAGCAGTGAAGCCGTCTAGTCCTGTGCTTTACTTTGTTGGAAGGGTCTATATTACTGATTCAATTTCCATCTTGGTAATGGGTTTGTTTATGTTTTCCATGTCTTCATGGCTCAGTTTTGGTAGGTTGTATATATCCATGAATCTATCCATTTCTTCTAGGTTTCCGAGTTTAATGGCGTACAGCTCTTTCTAGTAATTTCAAATGATTATTTTTCTTTCTGTGGTGCCTGTTGCATTTCCTTTCTCATCTCTAATTTTATTGATTTTAGTGTTCTCCCTCCTCTTTTGGTTTGTTGGGCCAATGTTGTTTCAAATTTGTTTATTTTTTCAAAAAAATCTGCTCTTCATTTTGGTGATCTTTACTATTTTTTTTATTTCAGTTTTGTTGGTTTCTTTTCTAATTTTAATTATTTTGTTTCTCCTACTAGTTTGGGGTTTGATACTGTTGTTTTTCTAGATCCTTGAGATATATTGATAGCTCTCTTATTTGGTGCCTTTCCAATTTCTTGATGTGGGCACCAACTGCTATAAACTTTCCTCATAACACTGCTTTTGCTGTTTTGATATGTTGTATTGTCATCTTCTTTTGTTTCCAGAAATCTTTTGATTTCTGTTTTGATTTAACACTGACCCACTGTTCATTCAGGAGTGTGTTGTTCAGACTCCATGTGTTTGCATATGTTCTAGAGATTCCTGAGTTGCTGATTTCCAGCTTCACTGCATTGTGGTCTAAAAAGATGCATGGTATGATTTTATTTTTTTTGAATTTGCTGAGCCTTAATTTGTGGCCTAGCATGTGGTCAGTCCTAGAGAAAGTTCCATGCACTGGTGAAAAGAATATGTATTCTGTGGTTGTAATGTCAAAACTCTGTAGGCATCTGTTAGGTCCATTTGGTCTTTAGTATAGATTAACTCTGTTGTTTCCTTGGTGATTTTCTGTCTGGTTGATCTGTCCATTGCTGAAAGTGGGGTATTCAAACCCCACATTACTATTGTGTTTGAATCTGTATCTCCCTTTAAATCCATTAACATTTATTATAAATAGCCAGCTTCCCTGTAATTAGGTACATATACATGTATAATAGTCACATCTTACTGTTCAATTGATCCCTTAATCATTATATAGTGCCCTTTTTGTCTCTTCTAATAGTTTTTGTGTTAAATTCTATTTTGTCTGATACTAGGAATGGTTACACCAGTTGGTTTCTGTTATCATGAAATATCTTTCTCCATCCTTTCACTTTCAGTCTGCATGCATCTTAGTTGGTGAGATGTGTTTCTTGTAGGCAGCAAATAGGTGGGTTCTGCTTTCTAATCCATTCAGCCAGTCTGTGTCTTTATTAACTAGAGTTGTTGAGACCATTTACATTCAGGGTGACAATTGTTAAGTAATGACTTTGCCTTGCCTTATTTCCATTAATAGTCCTAATTTTTTAGTTTGGGTTTCCTTTGTAGTTTTTGGATAATTTTTTGCCTTAACCTTCTTTTGTAGTGATGTTCCTATTTCTGTGTGTAACACATCCTTGATCATCTTATGTAGGGCTGGTCTTGTAGTTACAAATTCTTTCAATTCCTGTTTGTTATGGAAGGTCTTTATTTCACCTTCATTCATAAATGAGAGCTTTGTAGTGTAGAATATTCTTGGTTGACAGTTATTTTCTCTTAAGATTTGGAATATATCTTATCATTCTCTCCTTGCCTGTAGGATTTTTGATGAGAACTCTGGAGTGAATTGATTTGGCATTCCTCTGAACAAGATTTGGTGTTTCTCTTGTGCGCCTTTTAGGATGTTTTCTTTATGTTTTATTGTGGAACATTTTACTACAATGTGTCGTGGTGTAGATATTTTTTGTTCGTGTCTATTGGGAGTTCTGTGTACTTTGGATATCTTTCTTTCTTTCTACAGATTGGGGAATTTTTCTGTTGTTATTTCATTAAGGGGGCCTTCTAATTCTTTCCATGTATTCAGGAACTCCTAGGACCTGTATGTTGGCTTGTTTGATAGTATCTTGTAGATGTCCAACAGTTTTTTTCTCATTTCTTCTTCTTTTTGGTCTGACTTTAAAATTTCCAGAAATTTGTCTTCTAGTTTTGGTATTCTTTCTTCTGTCTCCCTATTCTGTTGTTATGGCTTTCCACTGCATTTTTATTTCATCTATTGAATTCTTAATTTGCAGTATTTCATTCTGACTTCTCTTTAATATTTTAATTTCATGGGAAAACTTTTCATTTAGTTTGTGAATTTTCTTTTGATTGTGTCTATGTAATTAATTCAGATAAATTTTATGAATTCCATATCTGGCATATCCTTGATCTCTTCATTTTAACTTTCTACTGTTGAAGTGTTGTAGTCTTCCTTATTCTTTGCTTTGCTTTTTGGCATTAGTGTATTTTTTTTTAATCTGGTTGCTTTTCACTTTGATTTGTGTCTTTGTGGTTTAGTCTGATATCTATACTTTCAGTAAGTACCAAGAGGTGTGTGCTCAATGCGGCTTGTGTGCTCTGTTCAGTATTCTTGGGTAGAGCAGGTATCCAAGGTAAGGCCCCTGTGGGGCTTTGTAACTTTCTTCTGGTTACTTGGTTGGATGAGGTTGTTAACTTCTGTTTGTGTGAACTGCCCTTCTCCTCACAGTTACGGATGCCCCAGTGTCCGTCTCTGGTATGTTCAGCTCTATAACACACTGCCTAACAAACTGTACCTCTAATCTGTGGAGAGTTTCCTATGGGCACGGTTTCCTGTGTTATGAGCTGCTGTGGGTCTGTGTGTTGTGAGTGGGTGTGCAGAGCCACCATTTGTTTTAAAACCATCCTTTCTCCACTGAATTGCCTTTGTACTTTGGACAAAAATCAATTGGGCATCTTTGTATTGGTCTGAATTCTGTATTCTGTTTTACTCATCTATTTAATCCTTTGCTAACATCTTAATTTCTTGATTAGTTTAGCATTAGTGTGGGGGATAGGAAACCACAATCCATGAGTAAAATATTGTTGTGAATAAAATTTTATTAGAATGTACTCCCATCCATTCATTTACATGTTATCTACTTTATTACTGTAATTAAAGTTAAGTAGTTGTGATAGAGACCACACACCTGAAAAACCAAAAATGTTTATTAATGGCCCTTAACAGAAAAATATCTGCCCACTTTTACCTTAAACTATCCTAAAATCATGCGTGATTTCTCCAATATTATTTGTTTTTCAAAATGCTATCATCAAATACCCTTAGTTTTCCTTAAAAAATTGAGTAGTTTAAGCCATTATTGTCTCTGCTGAACTCCCCCTCATCTCAGCATCATAGTCTTTTTCTCACCCTTCTAGGACATAATGTCATGAATGTTAGGCCTTTTAGCATGGTCTCACAGGCCTTTAAGGCTATGTTGTTATTTTTAACATTTTTCTCTTTGTTATTCATTGGATATTGTCCTTTTTAAAAAATTTTTTTTGAGAGGTAGAGCTACAGAGAGAGGGAAAGACAGAAAGTTCTTCCATCTGCTGGTTCACTTCCCAAATGGCTGCAAGAGCTGGAGCTGCATCTATCTGAAGCCCTAATCCAGGAGCTTCTTCTGGGTCTCCCATGCTGGAACACTGGCCCAAGCACTTGGGCCATCTTCCACTGCTTTCCTAGGCCATAAAAAGAGCTGGATTGGAAGAGGAGAAACCAGGACATGAACTGGCGCCCATATGGGTTGTTGGTGCCACAGGTAGAGGCTTAGCCAAGTATGTAACAACACTGGCCCTGGATATTGTCTTTTTGAAAAATTTAAAAACTTATTTGAGTGGTAGAAAGACAGAAAGATAGACATAGGAAGAATTCATATCTGCTGGTTCACTCCCCAGTGTTCACAACAGTTAGGACTGGGCCAAAGCCAAGAACTGAGAATTCATCCCTTATCTCTCATACAGGTGGCAGAAACCCAACTTCTTGAGCTATCTCCACTGCCTCCCAGTATCAGCATTAACAGGAAGCTGGAGTCAAGAGCTAGAGGTGGGCATTGAACTCAGGGATTCAAATATGAATGTGGGCATCTTAACCTCTAGGCTAAACATGTGCCCTCATTGGATAATTTCTAATGATCTGCTTTGAAGTTTACTGATATTCCTTTCATACCTTTATTTTACTATTATTGAACCTATCAGAGATTTTAAAATATTTTTGGCTATTGTATTTTGCTTTTTAAAAAATATTTTGAAAGTTAAGCACATTCTCCACAAATATTTTGTTTGTTTGAAAGGCAGAAAGTCACAAAGAAACAGAGATTTCTCATCGGCTGGCTCATTCCTCAAATGCCTGCCAGAGCCAGGGCTGTGCCAAGCTAAATCCAGGAGGTAGGAACACAGTCTGGGTCTCCAGTATGGGTGACAGGGATCTAAGCACTTGAACCAACACCTGCTGCCTCTCAGGGTATGCATTAGCAGGAAGCTGGATTTGGAAGAGCTATCTAGAACCCAGGAAGTCTAACATAGGATGTCGGCCTTTCAAGTAGCACCTTAACCACGATGCAAACACCTGTTCTTGTCTTTTGTTTTTCATTTGTTTCTTCTCTGTAAATTCTATTTTTTCATTTGTTTTAACAGTTTTGATTTTGGCAGTGAAAAAATGTGCCTGTTTCCCCTCTACCAGCCCACTCTCCAAATGCTCAAAATTGCCAAGGAGGCTGAGGCTGGAAGCTGGAAACTCAATGTAGGTCTCCAGTATGGGTGGTGAAACCTAATCACTTGAGTCATTACTGCTGCTTCCTAAGATGTGCACTGGCAGAAAACTGAAATGAGGAGCCAGGACTGATAGTCAAACCCAAGCACTCCCATGTGGGATAGGGATGTCCTAAATGATGTTGTTATTCCTGTTGTTGTTTTTGATTATCTTTCCTCAAGTGAGCTGAGCTTTTTCCCAATCTCTTTATATGCCAAATAATTTTGGATGCCCTGAGCATTTTAGTTTGGTCTTGCTGAAATTCTGTGGTGAATATTGATATTTTTGTTTTAGCAGGTAATTATGTCATTGGATTTAGACTTGAAGTGACAGTGCACATCTGTAAGCTGTGATTCCAGCATCAATTCAGTTTACCAAGGATTTGCAGTGATATTTCTAAGTGCTTTTTTGATTTGACAGGTAGAGTTATAAACAGTGGGAGAGACAGAGATAAAGGTCTTCCTTCCATTGGCACTGCACCAATCCAAAGCCAGGATCCAGGTGCTTCCTCCTGGTCTCCCATGCAGGTGCAGGGGCCCAAGCACTTGGGCCATCCTCCACTGCCCTCCTGGGCCACAGCAGAGAGCTGGACTGGAAGAGGAGCAACCGGGACTAGAACTGGCACCCATATGGGATGCCAGTGCCGCAGGCGGAGGATTAACCAAGTGAGCCACAGCGCCGGTCCCTTATAGTGCTTTTTGATGTTACTTGCAGTGATTTTGGTATGTGTGTCACTCAGTGACCAATATGTGTGACCTTCGTGATAGTAATCAGATAGTTTAGATCTGAAAGTGTTTTGTTTTCTTTTGACACATATTTTAATTACAACTGGTATCAGTCTTACTTTAGAAATGAAAAAGTTTAACTACCCAAAGCCTTTAAGTGCTGGTGTTACCTCTAACACACACTTTTTATGGTGAGTCAGCAGTAATCCATGCCCCTCACACCCTGAATTCCTAGAAGCTGTTAAGTGGGTTCTCAGTGTAGAGATAGGGATGTAGAAGAAGTCAAAGAATCTACATTCAGATCACCAGAGGACAGCATATATTTTACCATTTAATGAACCACATGGCTTCAAGCAACTAGGACACAGCCCACCTCCATCCACTCCATCCTTATTCTTCTCCTCAGCTCTATTGCTAAAGAATTTGGCCTTTACAATCATAAGCTGCTTTGGGAGCTCTCCCTTGCCCAGAACTTTGTAATAGCCTCATCATACTACAACAGTGTCTAGTAATAGCAATAGATAGAATTAAAAAGGAGAGAAAGTTGCAACATGGGAAGCAGTCCACACAGCAGACTCATAGAATGACAATCGCTTTAAGTAACATTCTGATCTCAGAATCAGCCTTTAAGGACTTCCTGGGCTGGCTGAAAAGCCCATGAGAGCATTTCAGGCATGGAAAGCCAAGACACTGTGGCAAAAAATGTTTTACATGAAGGATCTCTGTGAATGAAACCCCAGCAGAAAGAAGTGGCCATCAAAGAAGGATGCACTCTTCTCTAAAGGGAGGTGAGAACTTACACGTTGCTTGTGGCCTTGTCCAGATATTGATGGAGTTTGTGAACTCAGAAGGCTTCCATAGCCTGACAGCTTATGTCAGGAGCCTTGGGTGGTTACTGACATTATACATAAGGATGTTAATTGTAAAATTAACAACAGGAGTCACTGTGCACTAACCCCCCATGCAGGCAGGAATCTTTCCTCAATGAATTTTATTATGAGAGTTAACTGTAAAACTAGTTCTCAGGGTTTTTTTTATGTGTGGGGGTTTGTAAATTGTTGAAATTTTCCCTTAGTATAGAGTTGGTCTTCTGTGTACAAAGTTAATTGAAAAGGAATCTTCATGGAGAATGGGACTGTGAAGGGGAGAGGGAGGAGGAGGAGGGGTGGGAGTGTGGGTGGGAGGGCACTATATTCCTAAAGTTGTACTTATGAAATCTGTATTCCTTTAAAAATAAATTTAAAAAAAGGATGCATTCAGGTCAATGTGGAAAATTCTGTAGGACAAATAACCAATTTCTTCAATAAATGTAATAACCAATTTCTTCAATAAATGTATAATATATATTATATATTAAAAATGGGGTTAAATCATAGTAAATAGTGACAATTTTATTAAAAAATAAAAGGTATAAAACAGATACATTTACTTTATATTAATAAAATATCTAAGTTCAACTGCAGAAATTCATAGAAGGAGCAAAATGTAAATCAATTTGATTTGCAGTGTGGGAAGCAGTCCTATTTTTTCTGACTAAATTGTCTAATAGCATGATATAACATCTTTAACTTCATATTTGACTTTCATAGAGGGCCATTTTTTAGAAAAACAGACCAGGACTTTGGTCCTTTTTACCAAGGGCTTCTATCAGTACTTTGATAGCAGATACATGTCATTCTTTTATTCATTGTCCTTGTGGAATTTTATTAATTGGCCTAAGTTCCATAATTTCATTTTACATGAGACCTGAACATTTCTCCAGTGTTTCTTGATTGACTTTCTGAACTGTAATTTCTATTTTTCAAGGTTTTCAGTTATTTTGAAATATACTTTTGTAAGGGATGGCTAACACTTTTCTGTAACAGCATAGCCAAAATGAGAGCTTAAATTATGTTTTCACAGGTAGGTTTAATTTGCTGTGGGCACAGTAAACAGGCAAAACCTCGCTTTCAGACCAAACAAAGGGAGAGAAAGTTTTAAAGTGAAGATATAGCTTTTCTCATAGGCATTGTCTATTTCAAAATAAACCGCTATTAGAACATGCCTGTGACTACAGACTTCTAGTTTAGGCCACCGAAGATTAGAGATAGGACTTGAGAGCACCCCCTTGACTTGCATCCTCTGGTCTGCTTTAACAAAAACCAGGAGGAAAAAGAAAGCTAGGCAGCAGAAGCAATGTAAAGATAGGTGGCAGGCATATTAAAGCCTGTTCTATACAGTCATCTATCAAGGAGAACCAACAGGCCAGTCCACTGCACTGGATTTTGATGTGGAAAGCCAGGGTTTAAGCAGAATTCAGCTTATGAAGAGCCCTGGAAGCTCTGCCAGCAAAGAGTTGGATCACTGGAAATAGAACTGCCCTGGAGTCGAAGGACACCCAGGTCAGAGCCACAGATCTTGCTGGCTCCAAGCTGAAAAGCCTTTCACTCAGCCTAGCTTCCAAAGTGACCACTGCTGCTGAGGTGGTGGCCAAGTAGGGTCAGTAACATTGCAGGCAGAAGAAGTCACCTGCCTTTACCTGGCCAGCTCTTCTCCCAGGCCAGCTAGATAATGGAAGTCAACAGGGTGCCTTACCAAGGAGGTACCCCATGTGAAGAGATAGGTAGGTCTGGGCATCCTAACAGACAAGGCCTTAAAGCCCACCAGATTATTATCAGGCCCCTTTTGTCACTTTCTGCTTGCCTCTCAATTGGAGAACTTATTTGTGGCTTAGACAGCACCTCTCTTAGGTCCTCTAGTAATGACTCTGTCCTTTGTTCTAGACCCTGTCAAGCCCACTTGGGATCTCATTCCTTTATATTCATAGCCTCTACTCTAATGTCAATGGCTCTACTCCCAACCTGTATATATTGATGATCCTCTTCCCCACTTAATGTTGTATGCTTGTTCAGAATTTCTCTACAGACAAACCCCTCTACCTGCAAAAAGATGAGTGGCTTTTCTCCCAGTCTTGATTGGGATCAGCTTTAAACCACGTCCATTAAACAGTCTTCACAAGGGTCCAGAGCCCCCCCCCCCGCCATTTCCTCTCCTCTATGAAATCCTCTCATTACTTGGTTAATGCCTCTCTTTGGATAACTGGTTGCTATTCTCACCCCGGCTTTTATACTATCTTGTCTGTTTAAGTGTTTATAGGAGGTGATAATGGAACAAACCAAAGCCTTTACTCATCCAGCAGTCAACCAAATGCTGCTACAGGGATATATTTAGCTCCCCACTCAGGAGACAGCAGCTTGAGACATCGCCCCATGCCAGCGAAGAGTACCTTGTCACCCCGTTTCAACAGGAAATAGCTCTAAAGATAGATCATCGTCCCTCTATCCCTCCTGGACTTTTGGGACTAATGTAATCCCATACAACTCCTGCTTTATAAAAAGCAAAAAGGGGAAATGTTAATAAAATGGTGTATCCTGACACCATCCTAGGCTCTAGCCCCCACCGCCATTGCTGGAAGCCAGGTAGCCACATGGCCCAACCACTGGTGTCAGCCCCACCCATATCTTAATGGGATTCCCTCTCCTACTTCCCTGCCTGCCTCCCAGCAAAGTTTTAAAAGGACCTGCTCCAGAA